GTGCAGGAGGGGTGACTGGGAGGGCTCCTGTGGGTGCTGCAGGAGATGCATGGGTGCAGGAGGGGTGACTGGGAGGGCTCCTGGGGCGCTGCAGGAGATGCATGGGTGCAGGAGGGGTGACTGGGAGGGCTCCTGCAGGCGCTGCACGAGTGCAGGAGGGGTGACTGGGAGGGCTCCTGGGGCGCTGCAGGAGATGCAGGGGTGCAGAGGGGCTGCAGCAGAGCTCACCTGCGCTGCCGGCGCTGGGCGGTCTCTGCGGCGCCCCGGGGGACACGTTGCGGTGCAGGCTGCTCTGGGGCGGGGACAGCATGGTGGTGTCCGTGAGCGAGGAGCTGGCGGCCAGCGACGGGGACACCAGGGAGCTCCCGGGGTTGCTGTAGGTTAAAGTGTTGGGGTTGGACACCGGAACCGTCACCGACATGGAGAAGTTCTGGGCAGGCAAGCCAGGCTGCGGGAGAGAAGATGAGGAACAAGACAGCACCGTTAGCACTGACTGTGCTTGCAGCAATGGCACATTAGAAAAAATTCTCAGTTACAGCAGTTTGCTGGTTTTTATTAAAGTTAATTCTGTTAGTTTTTAAACTCTATTAAGCATACAGTTTTAAAACATCCATTTGTTGTAAAGTAAGAATTTCTCAAACTTCTCCAATATGTAAAGTTCAAAGAGAGAAAACTGAAAGTATTCATATGAACTCACAAGTTTATAAACACAACAAATTTAACAGTTAATTGGATTATTACAAAGGAATGAAAAGCTAAACATGTCTACAAATCAATGAATTGTTGTACCTTCATAATGTAAGCATAAACATGCACATTGCAAAGAGTTATCACACAAAAAAGAACAAGTTAGTAATAACATTTTCTAGGAATAATTTGCTACCAATCTCTAACACTTTGTTTTTTCAACAGACTAAAAAATAAAGAGATCTTTAGAAAATCACAAAGTTCAATAATTTGAATTTAAACATTTCAGGTTCCCCAAACCCCTGTTCAAATAACCACTCCATCTTTTTTGCAAATCTATTTTTTTTAAATTCTAGTTTTTACAGCATTATTTAAAAGACAACTGTTTTTCTGCAGTATATATGTTTGTTATTCAACAATTTAATTGAATCAAAAGCTGAGCTGCCTGCCCATCTATGGTACTCATTTGGTCATGACTAACTTCTTTGGCCTTTGTCTCATTCCTATCCTTTGACAGTGATGGGTTTCTGAAACAAAAGGGACTATTTTTTTTCACAACTCTTATAATTACTGGAAACAAAACCATGACAGGTACAATTGAAGAGCAAAGCCCCAGGAGTATTTATAGACAGAACAGAGTGGTGATAGTTGTGATTAAGGAGTCAAAGGCAATTGACCAACACACATGACTTAGCAAATACCTTTAAAAAATGCAATTTCATCATATATAGTTTAAAAATCACTTAGAATGATACTTCTGCATGAAAAGTTAGATAATACAAGAAATGTCACAATAACTATACTAATTAAAAGAGCAGAACATATTCTCTACAAGAAACAAAATCTCTTACTAGTGAGAGAAACAACAATGTCCCTACTGAAGCATTCTAAGAATAATCATCAATTTTTGGCACAGATGGAAGGAAAAATTAATGAAGCAGAACAACACAAAGCTAGCAAATCATTCACAGTATCTAACCAATGACAAGCCCCGCTGGTGCTTGTTTTAAGGGGAAACTACTGGAAACTACTCGGTATCTACCAAAACCAGGGTGTTTTTACACAGCACACTGTCAAGCAGCTCAAACTAAACTGGAAATACCTTAAGTATGCTGAACACACTGCTAGGAGGTAACAACTGGAACATTTTTTTCTGTAGGTTTCTCAATACAGAACCAATAAGTGACAGCCTCCCCCCACACCTTACAATGAAGGCTGTCTGCCCATCTATGGTGTTCATTTGGTTACGAGCGAATTCTTCACGCTTTGCCTCATTCCTATCCTTTGACAGCAATGAGTGCTGGAGAACAAGAGAAACTGTGTTCTTATACAGCCCCAGAAGTACTGGAAACAGAAACATAACTGGTAAAATCTGAGTTACAATTACAAAGCTGTAGAGCTAAAAAATAATGTTGCCCTTTTTATTTACACTGATGTCCACCTAGACATATAGGCTGTTCACCAAAAACCCATTTAGTTGTAACATACTGAGAGATGAGACCTGAAAATGTCTCAACACAAAAAACTCAGATATCAAAATCTTCAAAACAGAGAAAACCCAAAATATATTGGCTTTATTCAAGCATAAGAGAAGTGATGCTGGGTGTCATGACTGTCAGTTTGCTGTTCTGTCCCCAGAGATCTCTTAGGCTCTGAACGATGAAATGATTTCCAATATCAGCAGTCATTTGGAGACACTACTCAAGTGCCCCAGGGTCTGTGCAGATTAACCCACACAGCTCATCTCCTTTAATTGCTACAAGATTTGCATTCTTAAAATATTCAAAGGCTGTGGCAGAGCCCTGTATTAGTTTCCTTGGAAAATACTTAGCAATACTCAACACTAACTGATTTTTGTAGGTGGAAATTAAATGTCATCATGAACACCTCCACAAAACACAAGCAACATTTCCACTCCTTTTATCCCCAAACTGAAGTTCTGGAGCCAAGTGACTTATGGCTACACAGTGGATTGGCACTTGGGAGAAAATTTTAAAATATCCTTCGGTGTTCAAGGAAGTATCTGCTGGAATTTCAGTGGAACAATGTTTTGAGGCTCTCATTCTGCAGCAGCCTTGATTTTAAATATCTAAACAACTTTCTACATCCAAACTTGAGCAAAATAAATTCTATTGGTTAGATGAAAAAAATTAATCCAATTCTATTTGCCTGCTTGTCACATACTGTAAAATCTTGATCACCAGACAGATGAAGGCCTACAATATGTAAATAAATGATCCTACATCCTACAACAAAAACCTATCTTGGTAAATATATTTTAGGTAGGATTAGGTAATGCTGTAGGCTCCTGAAATTTTGAAATGTCATCTTGTGTTCCAAAGGTATGAAAAACTAGGAGTGCAAAACCAAAGCTAGAGATGATTCTTCTTATCCTTCACAATAAAATGTATTGTAACAAGACCAGGTATCACAATCTCATTTCTCCTCAGAAGTCCTTTTCCCTTCTCAAGCCCTTACATCCTCTTGTCTTTGAAGTGCTTTTCAGTGGTAAGCAAACACCATGAAAATTCTCATGCATGTAAGAGAAGCACAAACCATACTTTAGTACTCACTGCGATTTTATGATTCCGCATCATATTATCAAACTCTTCATTAATTTTTTTATATTTTTCTTCTGTATGTGGCGTGAGCACATATGAAGTGTCAGGGTCCGGGCTGTCGCACCCTCTGTGTTCCTTCTTGTTCAGAGCCTAAATAATGAAGTTAATAAAAAGGATCAACAAATAAAAAGTAGAGATAAAATAAAAGTACTTACAGGGCCTCGCTTGAAAATAAAATCACTATCTTCATTTAGTTTGCTGAATCTGTCCTCCGATAGTGGACTGTGCTCAAAGTAATCGTCAGCATCAGGGCTCTCACAACCATTAAGGCCTTTCTTTCTTAAGGTCTGAAATACAATTGGAAAATTCACATACAAATCATACTAACTTGCCAAGAAGTTTTGTACACTACTGAATCATTCAGAGCCCCTGAAACTACATCAAACTTTCATAGACAAAACTCACTGTGCAACAGACAGAATCAGTCTTTCAAGATAGTGGCAAAGTACACAATGAGAAAAGGTTCACCCAGGTGCCATCTCACAGGCACTTCATCTCCCAGCTCTGCATGCAAAATCATTTTTAGACATTGGCTGATGAAGTGAATTGCCTGACAAGGATCATTCAAGCCTGTGGCAAAGGAGTTCATGTATTCACTGGTAATCAAAAGCCAGTTTACTGTATCTTTAATGAATTGATTTTAGCATCCCAATTTTAATATTCACATTTTAAAGAGCATACAGTTAAATTCTGACAAACACAGTGGCTAAAATTCTGATCCAGTTCAATAACTGCAGGACATTAATATCTGTAACATTCAGTCTCAAAAGCTGACAAAGACAGGATCTTCCTGTCATCCTGCACGACAACAAGAACTGCAAAAAAGAAATTACATAATCCCTCTCTAAAATGACTTCGTTTGCTAAATATAAGCTTTTTCAGAGTCCTTCAGACTAACTTTATGGAGCTACTTCCTGTTTTCTGATGGAGAACTCACATCAACATCCCCTGGAAAAAAAAAAAGCAAGCTTGTCTACAATCCAGCCATTAAAGAAAGGATGTGAAACTACAGGTCTCGTGACCAAATTACAAGATATATTTGTATTTCTTGGTTTTGTTTTTCATCCTATTACACAATCAGAAATTTTTCTCTGCAAGCTCTTATTTATAACAAAACAATATTTAAAGCATTACCTGTGAAAAAATCTTTAATTTTTTTTTAAAGTTTCAAAAGAAAAGCAATAAAAAATTTAGACAGATATATGTTATCCATACATAAAGCGGCAGTAGGACTATACAAGCACAAGAGAGTTGCATACTTCCTTTTTGTCAGAAATTATCTATATTCCATTAATTTTACATTAAAACCCTTAAATATCAGAAATCTGCGAGCTGATGTTTCCAGCACCATAAAAATCCCCATGTTTTCCTACAGAAGCAATCTCCATTACACACTGAAATTCTGATTTACAAAACAAAATATTTTAGCTCATAGTATTCACCAGCATTTTTTACTGTCAACTGATTTTTAGTACAATAAAAAATACACACGACTTCCTTGCTATTCACATATATGCAAAATCCTGCTTATTTCTACTGCAGCTTGAAAGCAGGACTTGAAAATCCAATTCGCCGCCTGAAATTCTTTAATATCACAGTTCACCATAAGCTGCAATTCCTTCTCAAGTTTCCTGGCTTGCTCCATGTATCCCACACAGTATCTGGAACTCCCACAAAAATGTAATCACTAAATCAGCATATGGGGAAAACAGGTGTAGGCTCCTCCAGCACCTGTCACAGCTCCGACGCCGCTCCTCCACCAATAGCCGGACACGTCAATGGACTTGGCCATACAAGGGCCGGCAGCTCGGCCTCTCAAGGTCGGAGCCTGTTATCCCTCTCGCAGCCCTTCCTAACAAGTCAGCCTGCCACTCTGCTACACTTTGGTATCAGCAGGGAAAATGTTAACGCTGTGTAATCTGGATTACACTTAACCCCTGCAGCCCACGGCGCTCTGCAAAGAGAACCCAAACGTCTTCAGGTGCGTTCGGTGCAGCGCGCGGTGCCCGGCACGCGGTGACAGAGCTGCAGGGAGGCTCTGCAAGGAAAGGGCTGCAAGACTGCACACACAGAGTGCAGCTCCTGTGATAAACACACTGAGGCAACTGAAGTCTTGCAGCAAGGGAGCTTCGGCAGAGCTCCTTTCAATAGTCTAAAGCAATCCAGCGAAAGCTTTTTAGCGTAATGCTGCCAAGTTCATCCCTCCCGAATGGTCTGAAAATTATCCTCAGATTTAAACAAAAAGGAAGAGATTCAAATGCAAAAATGCTTCCTTCCTCTCGGTGACTGTGTGTCATTTTTGCTAACAATGGGGTTAACTCTGCTTTGACTCAAGAGGAAGGAAAATGCCTCAGTATCTCCTGTTTCAGGCTCTGGAAACCGTCACTCCAGATGGGGTTCCTGTCATTGTGGAGGGATTTAAGCCACAGTCCCCTGTCACAGATAATAAGGCTGGGTCCAACAGCCAGAGCTCTGCCTCCTTATCACCAAAACACCAAGTGCCACTTTGAGGACCTGGCCATAAAAAGCCTGCGAACTTTTATCAGTGCCCAGTAACACAATAGTAAAACATTCCTGCTCCGTGGCCAGGGCTGCGCACGGAATGCCGCGAGCTGCTGGCACGGGCAGGCGCAGCCGAGGCCGGCACAGGCCCCGCTGCGCAAACCGGCACCGGCATCGCTGCTGGGAATCCAAACTCCACAGACAGCTCCAGATTCCCCAGTGCTAGAATTTGTTGTTTCTCCAAATAATGTAAATAACTCGGCTATCGGAGCAATTTTCAAGGTATTATCACGGAGATTCAAATTTTATTAACTCTGATGTTGTTCAGAGGAAAAAATTTGGTGAGACCAAGTAATTTGTGTAACGTGAAAAGAGTTTTATTTCTCTGCTGTGATACACAAGCTCATTTAGAACAAAATCATAGTATTTGCAGTGGAGACTAATAAATATAAGGCAGAATTTTTTCTTACCACAGCAAAAGGGGAAAAGAACATTAAATTTCAGGTTTTGTTATTGGATTCTCATTGCAGTTATCTCCTGGTGTGAAGTCTTGTTTTCCAGATCATGTAAGGGAATGTGTAGCCCTTTCAGTAAATCTGTGTTACTTTCCACTTCCTCTAAGACTTAGCCAAAATTACTGGAAATTGTTCCAACATGTTTGCCAACACACTGTATTGTGCCCCAATAACCAAGATTGTGCAGCTTTGATCTCAAGCTGCACCAACTGATGAGAGAAAAATACTAGTTTTATTCAGAAAATAATGCTAAGTATTTACAATGAACCAATGCAGGTGCAAAATCTATTTTTTTTAAAGAATAAAGGAAACGCAAAAATACATTTTTGTGACACACAACGTCACTACACAAGTGTTCCAGATAGCTCTGCTCATCTTAATATTGCAGAATTGACCCAGGAGCTGTTCAATACTATTAGTCTAGTATTGATTTATTTTGATTTGAATGGCAGAGCTTAGAAAACATTGTATGAGAATGGCTAGACCAGCTATGACGGGTTTAAATATTGCAGTCAAGCACATGGTACAAGAGCCCCAATATTTTCCTGAACTTCCCCACACATATGCAAAGTAGTTTTTAATTGCACTTTGCAATTAAAATTAGCATTTTGCTAATTTAAGAAAAGAATCATGCCTTGGCAAGAAACATCTAAGGAACAGAAGAAGGGCTTCTCACAAAACAACAACAGAAAGGAATAACTGGCTTCTCTCTACAATTCAATATGAATTTTACTGAAACTGATAATACAAATAGCAAAGAGCATAAAAGCACAATAAAGTCATTTTTTGTTTGATCCTTGAGGAAGAAGAGCTGATATTCAAGCATCTCAGTGTAATCATCCTAGCACAAGCTTCCTTCCACAAAATCCAACAGAGGCACATGGAAGGCAGGAGCCTGACGGCTGCTGAGCCCCCAGAGCAGGAGATGAAGGCACCACCTTCTCCAGGCTTGCTCCAGCCCAGCTCCCAGGGGGCTGCAGACTCTGCTCAGGGAAGCAGGAGCTCTGAACCAATGCACATGGATGGGTCACTGCTTCCAGGGAGCAAGTGACAGCCCCCAGCTGGCCCCCTCCCATCCAGACCCGGGCTTGCCATCCCACCCCCAAAGGAAACGCTGCTGATGATTAAAGAGCACAATCAGCGGGTTTTGTGCTCCCATCATTGGGTTTGGTTAAAAAGCCAAGACTTCTGATATTGTGATCTGGGCTCCTTACCAGCCCTGGCAGAACTGTAAAGAACTTGATTACGTTCATTGTCACGTCAGGAAATGATATTTTTCTGCTTTAAAGCAAGAATGTAGGATGACCTCATGTGTAAAAAGTGTTATGAAGTGTAAAAAAGTGTCAGGTCATTCAAAACACTCAGTGTTTGGTTTCTTGTAATATTACACAAAAAGGAAATGGTTGTTGCTGTCAAAGCTACCATGTATCATGTTAACAGCTCTATTTTTGCACTTACTATTGGAGCTGGCCAGAAAAGATTTTTGTTGGTATTTCAACCCAAATCACTGGGAAAACCATGTCCAAAATTTGACTAAGACTGAAATGAAAAGTGATTTCCCTTGGAAAAGACAAACCTTTCACTTAAATCCTGTGGCTAGCTCTCCTTCTGCTCTTGCAATCAGAGCATGGAAAAGCTGCAAAGCAGCACAAATTTGGAGTAAATATGTTTTAAATATATGTATAAAATACACTTTTTAAAGTGTAAATATTCCTCAGGCCTGAAGTAATGGAAAAGCCCTACTAGTACTGCCAAGTATTACTGCTGCTCTGGTAGGCACCTCCACCATGGATATCAAAAGGATAAATGATTAAACTTTCCTGATGCATGCAGAGATGTCATGCAATAGTGGAGAATATTTTTGTGTCACTAAAATTAAAAAAAAATATCTCCTTGTCCATTCTTTAATTAACTTATTTTTGCTGTTTTCTGCTCTTCTGCAGCAGGAATAGGTGGGTGGCCAACGTGTGGGCAGAGGAGGCAGAAGGACTGGCCCAGCCTCGCTGGCAGCAGCTAACCACACCACCGCTGATAGTCACATCCTACATGAAAAGCCACACCTTTTTTTTCTGT